TGTTAGCATATTGCATAACAATCATGTACTCTTTTGTTTCTGGGTCTTGTGTCACTCCATAAATTTGAAGGAATGAAACATACGTGTAACTATCAGTTACAGTTATGCACTTGGCATGGTTTCTGAACTATTAAATAAAAACCAATAAAGTGTCAAATGCAAATTAATACCGCTTTAATTAATACTTCCAATTATTGCTTACCTCGGAAATAAATAATTCCGGCATTTCATCAAAACTCTTAAACCGTTTGAGTACAGTTTGTGGTATATTTATATCAATATACCTTTCTCCTCTATGTTTAGCAGTATAAACTGTTCTGTAACCACCAGATCCGATCTCTTTGAGTTCATAAAAGTCGCTATACTGCACATACTGTACATATTCGTTAAGTTGTATAAACCTGTCCAATAATGCATGTACGTCGTGGTAGAAAACTAAATAATATTCCCGAGTAGATGGCTCCCGAGTGATCCCAATTATCCAAATATTATCCGGTGTTAATATTTCGGGGTATTCCCCAGTTAGCTATTTGAGTAAACAAATACAACGTTAACACTAATAATACTATTTGCATTTTATACATGAAATAGTTTACCTGACGAAAATCAAATAACTGATTGTTTTGTTTGTCAACTATCTTTTTAAGTGTCACACGTGTCAATTCGTTTGTTCTCCAATCTGCTGTATGTGTGCATCCATGACGTAATGATGTCATCTCTTGTACATTTGTCAATAGAGAGTATTCTATCCATTGTATATATGCATCATGTTCATTCCTTGTATTCTTCCATGATTCTATAATAAATAAATCCAAAGACTTATTGCCTGTAGTCCAATCAGGAGGTCTTGGTGCTTTACAATGATAACAGAATGCATTCAACTTTGGTTCTAATGGACATGCACATGCCAGACATAGTAATAGTCTATTGTCAACTTCTATGAGACAATACTTCTGTTTACTTGCATCATATGTGAATCCGACGGTAACCCAAACATTTGTGGTAAGAATATCTGGATACCTATCACATAACTAGTGGAAGTAATAAGTCAATAATTGTTTAAACTATTCAATAAACATGACGCGCGTAAGTAAATAATTTACCTCGGCATAATATAAATCATGTGTCTCGTCTGTTATCTCAAGTGGAATTAATTTAACACAACAATTAGTTGGTAGACCATACAAGTATACGTAACTATATTCCCTATCAATACAATCGCGTGGAATCCACTCCAAATAGTGCTCATTTGCAGAGTTTGTTTGTAATTGAGATTTCTTAACAAACTCGTCGAGTTGCTTATTGTTGCTAGTCCATCCATCGGACAATTGTTTATGTCCGCAGATGCACCATACGGGACTACATCGGAGTATTCCGCATGCGGAGCAGAATCCATATCGGGAGTAACAATGGTAAAAGTCTCTATCAGCGACCATGTAATAGTAACCATCACACTTGGTAAATCCTTTTATCATGTTGTTGCGACCCTCAAGCCATATGGAATATCGTCTGAAGTTATTGTCATTATTATTGTACTTGTGTGTTGGAAGTGAGTACAATCTGGCAAACTCACTCACAAACGTTGGTGTACATTCTCCGCTACTTCCAAGGATTACCAGTAATAGCATAGTGGACGTTGTCAATTTGACTTGACTCTACATCAGTAATCTGCGAGTAAGGAATCCATCCAAGTCTTAAGTATTTATTTTTACTTTCCAAGGAGGATTGAACTAAGTTGTCAATCGCTGGATTATTAACAGTCCCTAACGACATCGTTTGAATAAGAAGTTTTCAAGTATGGTCACTCACGAAGAAACGTTTATTGTGTTACATCACACAGACCAATAGTTTGGAGTCTAACAGTAAATGCTGCTGTTTTATCGAAGCTCGATACAAGATGTTTATATTGCTAGTGCTTCATAATCGGGTATGGTTTCTAGTCCGCTAGGACGTGTTTGACACCCGAAACGCTTGTAAACCGACTACTGTAGATCCTCAACTGTTCTATGAACTAATTCGGCCCATACCTATACTAACATAAACATGAGCAGGCAATTGCTTTCATTTATTCACGAAAATTGATATACATATAACGTCAAAAATATTATTGAGATATTATCTTTAATGTAATATTACAACCTCATGCGTTCTCTTTATTTTTGTTTGCTCTAATTCTACTCTGTATATGCTACTTACTGAAGATGAGACGCTATGAAATCGTATATCAAAAACGCCACTTGCTCATACACTTTCGTTGACTATATGATGTAAATGTTAAGAAAAAATTAGCCAGCTATAATAATCCACAGATAGTGGCAAACAAATACAAGACTCGGATGGTATGGATCCCAAAAAAAGAACTTGGTTGGATCTATTTAAATACGAATGGAAACCAAATGAGCATATTCTAGTGTGACTTTTGCAAGTTCCATCGTCATCTTTGCATTATTTTCTTCTCGCTGACGCTTACCTTCGCATACTATATTGACAGTACTAGTATTGCCTAGAAGTCTAGTAATGCAGGAATTGGTGACATCAGTTATTCCAAATTGCGCAGCCTTCTCTGGTTTTTGTAGGTCAGTAAGCGCTTCACCCAACGGGAACAGTAACACTTTAACTTGCTTGTTCCAATTATCGATGGTAGTAACAAGAGCGGTATTGCGTACAATGCTAATTGCTTTAAGAGCGAGCTGAGCTTTCTTAGAGAGAGTACGTGAATATGAGATATCGAAGAACATGTTAATTAGGATATGTTTGGCGCCGTATGATGCGATAAGTGACCGTGTCTCTGATAATTTGGAGACTACAATTTCGGAATTTGCTTTTGGGTCATCGAACTGGTGGCGATGGTATTAACGAATTTGATTAGTCCATGTTGGAATATCATCGACTTTTATAAGAGATAAATTATTTACGTAATCGCGATATGACAAACAATATTTTGTCAAAATCTACATCCTTTAATGCTTTTGGTCCGTATATTTGTAACCTTATCAACAACACTGCAGCGGGAACAACGGTAGTAGTGCAATTAAATCCCGTTAAACCTGTTAAAAAACAGCACAAGGATAGGATATGAATTATCTACCGATAGTAAAGTTGCAAATATTACGACAATAATAGTTTATTTAATACTTACTACTTACCCAAAATACTCCACCCAAACTGGGCCATTTGAGTAGCGACCATTATAATATGAAGGAGAAGGATGATATGTATGATTAAGGTATGTGTATGTTCCGTTGCCATTATCACACGTACTGTCGCCGAATGCCTTAATAATAATGACGTACCAGTATTAGACAAAAAACACTATATCGGTTGATGTTGATTCGTCACTCACCACAATCGTGTTATATTTCAAGGCACCAGCGCGTCCATAGAATTCATGTCCGGGAACGCCAGCAACAGAGACAAGAATCCTTGTTTGCATTTCATCCATCTTTTATATTCTAAGAGTATATTATTTATAGTACATAATTGCATTGAGTTAGCTGCACAGACGGGAAATGCTACAATTGTTAATGTATTTCTATACTGGCAACAGTGACTTAATGATTTCCCACCCGTCAAACGGTATGACAAATATTTGTCAATCATGATTATGCAGTTATACCCAATAAGCTACATAATGTCACCCAAATTTGTACAGGGTAGCTTTAAAATCTCGTCTCGTTATCTCGATTAGTTGAATACTTAATTATTGATTTTACACTTTGCATCGTTTTCCCGTTTAATTATTCCTTTTTAGAAATTAATATCGACTGTACTACCGATCGCTATAAAAACAAGGTTTACAATATAATTTATACGGTAAATTTTATTGATCGGATTGTTATATTAATATCCCGAAATCCTATGACTGGTCGTTGTAAATAATTTTAATAGTGGTTGAAATGGCAAAGCACAGGTGGTTGTTATAAGGCATCGGTCGGTATAACAACGGTCATTATAAAGAGAGTTGACTGTATTAGTATGTAATGTCGAAGAATAAAATCTTAAAAAGGTTGTGAAACTTTGATTGTATTCCTATAAAAAGACCAACTGTGTAACACTGCCTTCCTCCCAGACCGTTTTATCGCTCAAGCATGAAGTTAGTAATTTAACACTTGGACAGTTTACAATATTAGATCTATTCGATCGAGCTCAATCCATCGTTTATGCAGGTTCTTCATAGATGACCTCCCTGTGTATTTTCCCTATGATAAGATCTACCCTGAGCAGTATTCGTATATGTGCGACTTAAAGAAGGCTCTTGATGCTCAGGTATGTTTCAATTCTTCCTCAACTTTTGTTTCCTTCCGCTCATTTTTCCCGACTATAATTACTTTGATCTCAACGCGAATTTTATTAACCAGATCGTCATATCCCCCCTCTTCGTAGGGTCATTGTTTGTTAGAAATGCCTTCGGGGACAGGGAAAACTGTATCCCTTCTCTCGCTCATCGTAGCTTACATGATGGTAATAACTAAAACCTGTTGATGCTTTCCATCATAAACCCTTCTCTTGGTGACATGCTCATATTAATCGCTTCATCGATGCAAGCATTATGCTGAAAAGAGAAAGCTAGTCTATTGCTCTCGAACAGTACCGGAAATTGAAAAGGCGTTAGCAGAGTTACAGAATCTAATGCAGTATCGGGAAAGTTGCGGATTAAAAGAAAAGTTTTTGGGCATCGGACTGACATCCAGAAAAAATCTATGTCTACATCCCAGAGTGAGTAAGGAAAAGAAGGGAAAAACAGTAGATGCCAAATGCAAGGGTTTAACTGCAACATGGATAAGGGAGAAAGCGAACACTGCAGATATCGAGTTGTGCGGTTTTTATGAGGTATGGAGAGTGAGACGATATAGAGTTTTGAATTCGTAATACGTGCGTAGCGATAATAAATGTAATATAACGATTACCAAGGAACTTCAACAAGCTGATCGACAAAACTTATTGCCTGACGGTGTATACACTTTGGAAGATCTGCGGGATTACGGGAGAGAGCAAAAATATTGTCCATACTATTTGGCTCGTTACCTCGTAAGTCGAAAACAGCAGCGTTTCCGCGACAAGTGATAGCCCCCCCTCCCCTTTCTTGTCCGTTTCCAAGTCTGACCGTTATATTGGCTCTCTTTTTCTCAGATACCCTTTACTGACGTTATAATATACAGCTACCATTACTTGCTTGATCCGAAAGTTGCGGAATTGATATCAAAAGAATTATCAAGAGACTGCATCGTTGTATTTGACGAAGCACACAACATTGGTATTCTGGATGCGAAGAGATTGAAACTGTAGACTGCAGAGGAAGAATTACATGTACTGATGTATTGGTATTACAATGATTGCAGATAACGTCTGCATTGAGTCGCTAAGCATTGACATAACGAAACCGAATTTGGATGCTGGCGCGAGAAGTATCAGTCAACTAGCTAATAGGATTGAACAGTATGTGGGAGTTGTCGTATTGGGATCGTGTCGTCAACAGGTGGTTGGGTTTTTCTATAACAGCACAAAAAAAAAATGTTACATGTCGTTTAGGATAACACAAACAGATGCACGGAAATTACAGGAGGAATATACGAGGCTGGTCGAAGGTTTGCAAATATGGTTACATATGTTTCTCCTGCTTTTTGAGTGTTGTCTGAAAAACTTTGTAAAATTTAGGTTTACGGGAAGCTAATCGAAATCGTGAAGAGGAGGTTTTCATGGCTAATCCAGGTGAGATAGCCTAGAATAATAAGAATAATGAAAATGATCCCGATGTTGATATTTTGTATGCTCATTATTTCACATGGACAATCGACATCAGTGTTACCTGATGATTTACTCAAAGAAGCAGTTCCTGGAAACATAAGACGTGCCGAGCATTTTGTTGCTTTTCTGAGACGATTTGTCGAATACCTAAAGGTACATTTCACGTCCATGCTGTGCTCGGCTTTTAACAAATGTATATGCTTATTCATCTCACAATACGTTTATAGACACGAATGCGTGTGCAACAGGTTGTCGCAGAGACACCGGCATCATTCTTGAAAAGTCTAAGAGACGCCACGTTCATTGAACGAAAGCCATTGAGGTATGTGACCGCGTGGTTTTTGTGATAAACCTTTAGAGGTGGAAATATAATTTGCTATAATACTTTTGTATAGATTCTGCAGCGAACGATTGACCTCATTGATCCGCACACTTGAGTTAACAGACCTCGAAGAACTATACGCTTTACAGAAAATATCTTCATTTGCTACGTTGGTCGCGACTTATGATAAAGGTAACATTCACATGGCCGCAACTATAAATGTGATGTTGGTTCGTTTAACCAGTTTACTCTTTTTATTAGGGTTCATGCTTATTCTTGAGCCTTTTGAGGCTGATACTATTCCAAATCCAATCCTTCATCACGCGTAGGTTGGGTGCTTTATTCGTTACATTATAATATGTTGTGGGGTAATCTCATTAATCTCTGACTTTCCAGATGCCTTGATGCTTCTTTGGCAATAAAGCCTATATTTGATCGCTTCAGATCTGTTATTATTACATCAGGAACATTATCACCACTGGATATGTATCCAAAAATGCTGTCTTTCCAAACAGTGGTGCAAGAAAGTTATGCAATGACGTTGACAAGAAACTGTTTTTTACCTCTGGTAAGCATTATATCAAACTTTGTTATCACACAGTTCGTGGCTTTCTCGATTCAATTAATTCGTTATTACCACATCTGTAGGTAATTACTCGAGGAAGCGATCAAGTGGCAATTAGTTCAAAATTTGAAGTACGCAACGATCCAGCTGTTGTCCGTAATTTTGGACAAATTCTTGTAGAATTTTCCAAAATTGTTCCTGATGGGATCGTTGCTTTCTTTCCAAGTTATTTATATATGGAATCGATTGTCTCTATGTGGAATGAAATGGTACGGTATATGTATTCGTGCGAACAGAATATTATTCAACACATCGTAAATTTCAAAACGACCATCTATATATTAATTGCAGGGAATATTGAACGAGGCGTGGAAACGAAAATTAATATTTGTGGAAACACCTGACGCAACAGAGACAACTCTCGCCCTGGAGAATTATAGACTGGTGTGTAATCGATCAATTACTTGACAGGGAAACGGGATTCCTAGTCATAATAACCAAGTTCAACCCATCAACAGGCATGCGATAATGGACGTGGGGCAATACTTTTGTCCGTTGCTCGAGGTAAAGTCTCTGAAGGAATCGACTTTGACCATAATTACGGACGTGCTGTGGTTATGTTTGGGGTTCCATATCAGTATACTGAAAGTAGAATATTAAAGGTAGGCGCTGAATAGATCTATTTTCATGTTTTCATATTGCTGTTGTTTTGCATCTTGCTTCAACAGCATTGTCAGACGAAATATGCTAACTATATAACCGTCCAAGGCGCGTCTGGAATTTCTTCGCATGAACTATCGAATACGTGAGAATGATTTCCTCACCTTTGACGCTATGCGACATGCAGCACAATGTGTCGGACGTGTGCTGAGAGGGAAGACCGACTATGGATTGATGATATTTGCCGATAAGGTTTGATATTTATAGAGAATGTCGCAAAAATTTTGTTCTTTTCAGTCTTGTTTTCTAATTCGCGTACCGCGTTTTCTTTGCTAGCGCTTCGGCCGAACAGACAAAAGAGCAAAGCTTCCAAAATGGATTAATCAATATATTTCTGAAACAGCCACAAATCTTTCCACGGATATGGCTATAGTGATTGCGAAAAAATTCTTACGCTCCATGGCTCAGCCGTTTGAACATAATCAATTGGGAATATCGCTATTAACAATAGAAGATATTGAGGCTAGACAGAAGGCTGCGAAGGGTGGTCAGGAGCCGGATAAGCAAGGACAAGGAGGGCAGAGACACGGTCAGGTTGCTATGGAAATAGATGGAAAATGAGGATTCGTGTGGTTTGAAGAGTAGTAAATCGACAAGTAACAAATCTGAGAGAAACGGTGCGTGCTGATGCAAGTCGTAATTAAGCAATTGTAATAGCATAACGGAAGAATCTTTTGAAGTTTAATGTTGGAATCAAAAACATATTGCATATATGCATATATTGCTGCCAACTCAAACGATTTCTGTCACTGGCATAGACTTTTATTATAGTAATGATTAATAAAAATTCCAACTGACATTCATACAGTCAACTGCCTTTAATTCGACCGCCTGCATTCCGGAGTCATCGGTCGAATTAACGACAGACGTACTTAAGGAAGAACAATCATATTAAAAAATCGGGTCTTGCTCAAGGCGATCGAATTATGGGAAACGTCGAATTATAGGGAGTCGAATTATCGGCAGTCGGCTGTAGTCGTATTAGTATTGCCAATTAAGAATATCCTTATGAAGATGCATGACAGTTTCTTTGACCATAGCAAGATTTTGCAGCAATACATAACCACCTGTTATGCAATCTGTTAAAGCTTTACCATAATGAATTCAATAGCGTTTGCGTTAATGGATTGCGACAATTTACACACTTAAGAAATAAGTCTGTTTGGAAATGATAGTCCATTTATTTTGATCCATTCATTACGCGTTTATTTTGAGTTACTTGTACTGTACACCCACTGTAGATTATCAATCAATGTTAAAACTAAGGACGTTTAAATTTATTTCTCTATCATTTCTCAACGAAATTTTCTGAATACATTTTATTAATGGAGTATTTGATGTTATCATAGCGAATATTTAGTTAAAGTTAGAAGACAAAATCCGAAAAATCTGGGTACTCTCATCCCCTGACAAATTTGGCAGGTACGTAAGTTAAAGGGGAGGTAGGTGCTCATGTCATAGTTCCCTACTTTGGGGGGTGTAAATTACCTCCCCTTTACCTCCCCTACAGTGATTGCTAATTTTAGTAACTTCGATTGCCAAATCTGATAGTTTCCTTCCGCATATTCCAGCACATCTCCTATAAAAATTTAGTCCGAATTAATTATGGACCCACGGGTATTATGTAATGAATCATAATTATTACTTACCCGCAACATTACCATAAAGATTGCCAGTTGTTGTCTTGTAATGGATTGGTTGAATATTCTTTGAAGATTCGAAACGCTTCTTATGGTGTCAATGGAATCTTTAGAAAATCGGGATAGCTTTTTATGATCTTAATTAGATGGAGTTTGGCCGACCAGTTTCTAGATAACAGATTTCCAGTTCCGCTAAACGAGTCAGTAATACATAATCGGGTCTTCGTGCAATTTTTCGCGAACCTTTCCTCTCCTTAATTCAAATATTTCATGTTAATGCACGGAGTGTATTTTTACGAAAGATAATAATAACATGAAATGAAGTAATTATCGAGATATAATAAACATACCATATACTCCATGCTAACGGATGCCCCGGTAAATCATTCATAACAATATTTATCAGTGGAGCAATCACTTCACATACATAAGAGCCCTCATTAATATGTGGTTTTCTATTTTTTATGAATGATTTATATTTCGGCGATCCAGAAATCGAAGCGGTTTATAAAAAGGTATAAATACTAACATTTCCAATAATTCTCTCGTTATTAGTTCAAGCTTTCCGCCCACTTTCCAAATTCAACGTTCCCCAACATATCATCTTCTTTAGAACTGATCTCTATCTCTTCGTCTCCTCACACACATATAATATTGCATTGTTTTGGTTTAACTTATACTTTTTGAACGGTTTCTTGTAGAGCGACGTGGGCATTCTCGTAAATGGTTCTGGTTTGACATCAAGGATCCCGGAACACAACGGATGGTCAAAACCTAGTTCTTCCACTTTTATATCAAGTAGTTATGAGCATACTCGGATATATACCTGCAAATCATGCCAATAATCCTGGTTCAATGCGAGAGATATATTCCTTGGTTAAAACTGATAATGGATGATCGTGTCGTCGCATTATGCTCAGGTAATGTGGCACAATTCTTTTTTGCTACAAGATGTTTACACAGCATGTAGGGATGTTTTAGATATGCGAGACATGAACAAACCCACAAATCCACATCTGTATGATATTGATCTTTTATATTCATTGTCGACATGCTTGTCTTTCCATTCTCGTTTGAAAGTGTGTATGTGCCGCCATGACGGAAATTCGCGGTTGTTGCAATATCTTTCCCACAAATTTATTTGATCATTAACCAATTGTCCAATTATTTGTGTTAATTAGTCATACTTCAGTACTCGTCAATGTGATTCAGCAATTATTGTTGTTTGAGCAAGTGGAAGAGCAAGTGGATGTGATGTTTTTGGGGGAGGCATTTATTTCATTGACAATCATTTCACCGACAGTACACTTCACCGACAGTCATTTCACATGACACATTGCTTATCATTGGTATTCAATGAAATGAACCAGACCGTTTTTGGTGATACTAGTTACACCATAAATAAATAAAAGTCATTAAATTATATATCGATTTCTCCCTTTTTATATTTGACCTTATTACAAAGATCCTACCAGAATCATGAAATAATTTTAACTACATTTTAGTTTGGACAAATATTTCTGAATGAAAATTATTATTATGTAGTGGTTGATATTCCTCTAAATATTCTATGACAATACGTGGTTGGATCAAAAAGTTCTTGCCACTTGGCTTTATTTCGAATAATTTTAAAACTAACTACTGTAAGCTATTTTTCAAAATAGTCATCACTTACCTTTACATATTTTTGTAACCTCTTACACCAACCTTCAAAAGACTTATGATATTTCTCTTGTGAGATACTATCAACAACTGCCTGAAGAACCCTAAACAGATTTTTAATCCTGTTATTCTTCCTTGTTAAAGTGCTTTCTTAATTCTAGGTAAAAAAAATAATAAAAAATTACATGACATTATCTATAGGCTTAGGATGGACGTAGCAATAATTCAACTTGTATTTTGCTTCAAAAACCCATATTCTTAGATGTGCAATAAGGCGCAGCATTGTCATATGCAGTAGCACATTGCTCTTCCCTTAATTTCTTTGTATTAAAATTCTGAGAATTTAACAACACATATATGAGTGTGAGTCTGACTGCTAAATTTTTGAGAGCACCTCTTAATCAAATTTAGAACATCAAACCCTCTCCCAAGTTGATCAAACAATAATGCTAGTATGCCATACAGAACATAAATAATACATATTTATTTATAAAATTGTTTGCTATTTAATACTCAATACAGATAAATTAAATCTTCCAGGTGTGATGCGCCGCAATCGATGACGTATTCTCTCCTTATTTCTGTGCTTCTCCAGCGATGCCGCAGTCCAAATCAATCGGCGGTAACACTAGCGCAGCTGCGGATTTCAGTGTGGGTAGTAC